CGAGTGGGCAGGGCGTCCGACGAACCTACTCGGCACGAACCAGAAACTTACGGCACGTAACAGATGTCAGTTTTTTTCATTGACTTTATTAAAACAAACATCAAGAAACTCAATCATAAAAAATGCAGTTGGGAAAGACAAGTACCAGGACAATCGTAGTGGTCCTGAAACAGATGGATACAGTGGCCTAGGCAGAGGATTCAATAATTCTGCTGAGGGTTCTCTGGTTTCCCACTGTCACCCTCCATCACTGTGTTGTCCTCCCTGGGAATCTCAATGAAACTCGGAAAATAATGTTGCAAGATCAACTGTTTCTTGAAATCAGTTTGCCCCATATTATAAAGAAGGGTACACAGCTCTTGGAATTCATAACACGTCTGCAGTAGTGATGGCAGCTGATAAAACACCCTCAACTTATCCCAGATAACTTTGGCAATGACAACAATTGAATGCTCACCCTTCATTGCTTCAAGGATAAATTTTAACAGAGGTTCATCTTTATTTTGTTTTATCATCTTTAGGAGCAAATTCTCTAATATAAAGTTCATGGGAATGCCAAACTCAGTCACGCTTTCATTAATTAAATTGAGGTAACCAGTGTGCATGCCTAGCAAATGTGAATTATCCCCAAAGATGGGGGAGCCCGAGGACCCATTACGCATAGTTGTGTGATAATGCAATAATGTATCCTGTACATATTTGGGATCTTCAACAAGGTAATTTTTTTCAATGATGGAACTTTCATCAATCCTTTTTCCCCCACCACCAGGGTGACCACAAATGGAGATCCCTCCCATCTCTGAGGGAGGTCCATATGTACTTAGAAGAGTAGGAGGTACTGTAGTATCTGAACCCCATGCTCCTGCAGATCCAGCTCCAGTAAAGCAAAATCCATCTCCCATTGCCAAACTTTCGCATTACACACATAAGCAACAACCTTTTGTTTTACGTTTAAAGAGAGGAAGTATGTTCCACCCTTCATGTCTTCAATGGTAAACATGACAGAAACCACCCGCTTTAAAATTCCTTTGTTAATAATATTCTTAATGACATGTGCATTTGTTAGGATATAACGATCAAACAGCAAGAAGCCTGTAGCTGTCGAGTGGTCCTTAACATAAATGTTACAAACTGCAGCACGGTGCAGAAAGCCTTGCCAATCTTCTTTAGTGACAGAGACTGTATATTTGCTTTCACGTTTCATTTCAATCCTCTCTTTGTACAAATACTCTAATAATGTGGAAACGTTATATTCAGTCACCCTGTGTATTTTTGCATGAGATTCATAATAAAGGATGCCAGCAGAGTGCGATGCTCTGTTTATGAACCGAGAACTTGGATCAACACCCCCCCTATCAGGATGACAAATACTGTAGATCCCTCCCATTTTGGAGGGAGGTCCATATTTACTTAAAATAGCAGAAGGAAGTATCTTAGCACATTGTTTGCGCATATCCAGCGGCAGTAAAGCAAAATCCTTCTCGTATTTCCAATTACCCATAAGACAGACATCAGCAACAAGCTTCATGTCTTCAAAGGTAAAAACCTCCTGCTGTAAAATTCCTTCGATAGTAAAATCCTTAATGGAATGTACATTTCTTAGCCTATAACAATCAAACAGCAAGAAGTCTGTATATTTCGAAATACCCTGAGGATTAACGTCATATGATTTCATCCTCTTCTCAATGAAGTCCATTACTTTGATGTTCTTTTTCCTTTTCTCCATCAGTTGGACTTGATTTTGAAGCTGTAAATTACAACAGAAATGATGGCAAACAATTATAGAAATGAATGAATGGTCCCCACAAAGATATGTTTACACGACTGTGTGTGTCCATTTTTACATAATGTGCGAATTTGTTGTACATAGGTCAGGTCAGGTCAGGTTGGGGAGTATGCGTTGATGCTGTGCGTTGCAACACCCACCACAGGGCGAAACTTCTC